ACAGTCTCGACTGCCACCATGCAGCCAATGCAGGAGCTGTCAAAGAGTTTGAAAAGCACTTCAGGATGCTGACAGGAGCCCAACGTCCCGCGCGCACTCGCATCTTGGCCTCAGGAATGAAAGGGTGCCTCCTGCAAGCGTTCGAGCGACGTTCATCGAGCTGGGGAAGTGTCGCACCTTCTGCGGGATCACCGCTGAAACCGTTCGCTTGAGCTCTGACACAGCTCACTCTGCGAACTTCATGGGTTTCGAAACGGTTGTCACTGCGAAAGATTCTCCGCAGTGAGTCCGCACGGCCTGTCACTCACCTGTCTAAACGAAACATGCCGACCGACATCTTGGTGGCGGCTGCAACGTCGTCCCGCAATGCACCACGAGTATGCTCGCTAGCTAGACGGGTGTGTCACCGGCTTACGGTGGATGCGAAAAAGAAAGAAGACTAATGTCGCTGCTTCCATAGCCTTGCAGCAGGCTAATAAGCCAACATTACCCCTCTTTTATTGCCAATGAGGCCATGGCATTTCTCCGTCAGACGATTAGAGCGCATTTTGCGGCTCGAGGGTAACCTGGTTCTGGGCTCCAGGGTTAACGGCTTTGCTGCACACCTCCCACACCCGTGGAAGTTTTGCGGTGTGCGCGTGCCGGTATCGAAGACGAAGGGCAAGCTTCCAGGCTTGGGGACGCAGCCCCTCACTTACACCAACATCGCGATCTAGGCGTAAGGAAGCAAGTCCTGTTTATTTTGGATAGAACGGATGCTCAAGCTCGCACACAACGAGCTTCAGATTCGGCAGATGCGCCTAACCGAAGCTGTGCGTAGCATCGGTGACTTTGCGGAAGCACATGCAATGAGACGAGCACGAGACCCACGCCGCATCTCCTTCCGAACGCTACCTGAGGACGCCTTTCCAGAACCCACGGTTGCCGTATCTTCCGTTAATCTCTGTTGAGTACCCAGTTAATTAGCCAACATTTGGGCTTGAAGCGGGGCGTTCGATAGTGCGTGCATGCCGCTATCGGGTCATTTACTGACTTTGTTCGGCCAGATCAGGTCATTTATCAGCCGTGCGATGCGTGGCGTCTGCAGCGCACAGGCGGCGGGTGAAGGCCAGGGAGGCCTGGGCGTTGTGGCATCCAACCTCCCGTTCGAGCAAGTGCAAACCCAATCCCCAAAACTGTGGGCACTTCTGCCGACGTTTGGTGTTCGTCTGGAGGGCCTGATGCTGAAACTAAAGAATCCTTCGTTGGACGTTGGTTGACTGTGACGAGCCTGAGCCTAAGCCAACTGCGCCGCCTCCCTAAGGCAGAATCGACGTCTCGCTGTCAGACATCGCGATGGGCGTGGAGGCGATGTCTGCAAAAACCAACCTTCACAAGACTTGGGAGCGCGAATGGAGGCTCAACACGAAGATACAAGAGCGCCACCGGAATGCGGCTCACTAGAAGGCAGGTAATGCCCATCGTATCGCTCGTCCATCCCTGTCTTCTCATCGCAAGATTGCACGTATCAGCGCTTACAGCAGACACAAGCCTTTTAGCCAGATGCCGAGAGCGGCAAGGTGACATGCGGAAAGCGGATTACCCTGAGACGCTAAAGCCACCTCCAGGTATCACCAATTTGGCGTGCATATCGCTTCAAGGATAATAGTAGGAAATCTGGTCAGGATCATGGTCCGTGCCCATGTACCTACACATGGCGGCGCATGCGTGCCCTTGCCGGCGGGCCTGTCTAACGGCCAAGCGCGAAGGTTACAGACGAAAGTATAAGTCTGTCGAACCGCCTGGTCTAAGAGGTAGTGTAACAGCGATATCAGCCTCGAGTTCTCTACGCTAGCAAAGACTAAGGGACGTCACTTCTATTTTGATATCATCGATCACTTCATCGCTCCTCTTGCATTCGGTCGCAGTACATCTTCATCGCTCCTCGGTCGCAGTATATATACCAGCCTCGCATATCGCATTACCGACAACACTTCCTCAACCTTGAGTATCGCATTACCAACGACACTTCCTCATCCTTGAGTATCATCATAACCAGTCATCATGCTCTTCTCTACCATCACTACGGCACTGCTCTTTGCCGCATCTGCCACTGCAGCTGCCCTACCAAGACCTGCCAAACCGCAATACGCTCCCGCCCGTAACCTCAACAAGCTCGCCAAACTCTTTCCCCAGAGCGCTCTTCAAGGCCCAGGCGACTTGGATCTCAAGTACGTTGTGCTCGGCATCGGCACACAAAACTACACTTGCGGTTCTGATGAGAGCGCGGCCCCTGGTACTACTGGCGCATTCGGTAAGAACCCACTCAACTTGACAGGGAAGGAGCTAACAACCACCAAGCCACCCTATACGATATCGGTACGAAGCTCAACGACGAAGCATATGCCAAGTGGAAGATTCCCTCTATCACCCCTCTCGCACTCTCACTGTACGAAGTGGCTCCTGGGCTAGTCGACATGAGCCTCCGACTCCAGGGCTACGAACATATCACCGGTCACCACTTCTTCGCCGACGTAGAAGGAGCGAACACACCAACATTCGCCTTCGACAAACTGAGCACGCCATTCCCCATGACCCAAGTTGCCAAGATCAGCAACGTCAGTGCACCATCGTACGCCTGCCCAGGCAAGAACGGTCTACCTGCCGTTGACTGGCTATACCTACAGCACAAGACTGGCATCACTCAAGGAGGAATCAACACCGTCTACCGTGTCGAGACTGCCGGTGGTAACAAGCCAGCCACATGCAAAGGCATGCCAGCCACATGGGAAGTCAAGTACGCTGCGCAATGTAAGTATACCCGAAACACCCACGCAGCTAGAATAGGCCACTAACATCTCACAGACTGGGTCTATGGTCCCAAGTAATAAGCGCCGAGCTTGCGACGCTCGTTTCGAGTCAGTTACGAACACTACCATTTTCTCATGCCTTCTACGATCTTTCCATAATTAGGTTAGTCGCGCGCGGCTATTTTCGTCCCGCAAGATCTACGGCAGGGCATGGATTTTCTTTTCTTGTAACCTTTCATTTCATCTCTTACATCTACGATACCCTTTGGTTTTCATGGTTCACACGACTGTGTGGGACTTCGTTGTTACTGCGGGGCATCGGCATGGCTATGGGCGTTTACGGTTTTTTGCATCTGGTGGCTATAGTGCACAAGGATTGGATGTGTCCTTTGGATAATTCTAAAAGCTTCTTGCTCACATTGCGGTCGCGAATACTAGCACAGTGGTAGTTCTCTTTATGATGTGCTTCACTGTACGATAGATCACATATGCGAGATCAATGACAGTATCGCGAAGGGCCTACATCGCTCGCATCTCATCATCTCTCCTTGGGAAGTGCCATGACTACGCCCAGCGAAAGCTGACTGTAGCAAAGTGCAGACCAACCCAAGAGACATCGCCATCCCATCGTCACACAGCCAACACGGCACATTCATAGCCGCACTCCACCAACATGGTCTGCTGACATCGACCAAGTGCCGCGCTACATACCAGACCCACTGACCACGTTGCGGCACAACTCGCAGCATGCGGCACAGTAAGGCGCGCAAGGCTGCTTGCGCTACGATCTCCACCCCATCTGACGTGCGATGCTGCCAACCTCTCATTTACCTACAACACTACCAACACCCACTACCAACTTCCCTAGAAGCCCCCGATATCTCTCACGCGCCGCCTTCGTACCAAAACCAAGAAAGCCTTACCCCAATACATGACGTGAACCACTCGCCCAGCCCTACAGCCCCTTCCGTCAGCCATTATTACAGGAACTACGTTCAAGTATGTGATTGGATGCAGACTATACGACACAGTGGTTCGTACTACTTTGGTGGCTGTGGCAGCGGGTATTTGGCTTGGCAAAGCGGGTGTGGATGGTGTGGCACAAATCTGGTTTGACGGCGGCTACCTAGGGTCGTCCGGAGCTTTACTACTTGGACGCAGGACGCACATGTAGGTTTAGCGTAGACAACTATTGGTAACTTGGTACTGGGAAAAAGGAATCGAAGAAAGTGGGCACGGGAATTTGGCTTCCGTGCCAATGATGTGGCGTACCTGCATCCGGGACGATGCCAATGTATTTTTTGTTTGGATATTCATGGTGTAGCTCATATCAATTGCACCAATGTTCACCTCTGGTCTGCCTTCTCTGTATGTTGGACAGTCACTTATCTTGTGCGCATGATGCCCTTCAGATCCTCTTTGTCGTCGAGGATGTTGTCCTCGCTTCCAACTCGCTCCTCGGTGACGCTGTAGACAGCATTTCTTTTTGCTTCGCCTGAAGGCATGAACTTGTGGAGCAAATTGCCTCATACGCTGGTTCTGGTTGATCCTTCCAAGTTCTGGTTGCCATCCAAGGTGCCAGTCGTTGTCAGAAAGATCAGTCCACACTATAGAGGGTTTTGCTGAACTACCAATCTTCTGGTCACATGTGACGCTTGAAGGGCTCGCGCTATTCTTGGACCTTGGCTACCGAGTTTTTTGGTCGCTGCGATGATATCTATGAGCATGTGATTGCTAGAAGAGCGGAAATTGGCCGTCTTATTACAAACTTTAGTACTGTTGCTCAATGCATTCACTTATGATCTCCCAAAAGTCCATGCATGGAGTGCAACATCGGACTAGGTTGTGCAAGATTCAGTGTGTCATGATTTGTTGAAGATCTTGGAGAGTCTGATGACACTGAATTGTCGTGTGTGATGAGCAGAACCGTGGGTGTAAACCTGGTATTCGATCGATTTCGAATCAGCGAAAACTTCCACCAAATCCATAGCCACCCATTCGGACGTTAGTCATCGACCGTCAGTGATTGCGCTGCCAATTTGGATTGCGTTATTGCTTTCGTGTATTGTAGAAGACATATGAGACAGTATGTACGAACACTAGTCTCCAGTATATAGTACAATCGTTTTTGTCGTGGTTGTCAGGGCAGGCACAACTCTCCGGTCAGTGGCCTGGGAAGCCCCTCAGCCTGCGCGCACCCGATCCAAGGGCTCAGACCCTGGAATTGGTTCCCTCATTGTTGATAGTCACCTCTGTTGTGCATTTGATCTGCTTCGAATCGTGTGGATGTCCTCCAAGAATGTAGTCCTCACTTCCTGCGCGCTCCTCGCTGACAGCATAGATCTCATTCTTCCCGCCTTGTGCCGATCCTGCAGTCGCCCTCCACATCTCATATGCCTCGGTATCAGCGTTTTTGTCCGTTCGTGTACCGCTCAGCGTGGTCAAGATCGATTTGCGAGGTCTGGAAGGTGGTGCGCTGCCAATGGTCCTGGCTTTGTCGCCGTCATGGAATTGATTGTACTGGTTGCTGTTCGTGGACTTGCTGATCTTTCGCAAAAGTGGCTTTAGCGTGGGTATTGAGGCGGCGATGATTCCAACATTGAGCTGAACACTGAAAGAAGAAGTCGTTAGCACTAGCTACATGCAAGCGTAGTTCATCGGGAAAAGTATACTTACAAGCCCCAGAATCGTACATTGTTGTTGCTGTGTGTTGTGTTAGTCAAACAGCCAGTCAAACTTGAAGAATCGGGGTATCACGCACAAATGCGAGTCGTTGTCTTTGACGATGGTGAGTTGATATACCGTTTTGACAATACCCATGACCACCGCACTAAAAGACAGTGAGCAATGGAATGCGGGCAATGAGTATATGATAAGCTTACACATAGCCTAAGCTGAGTACAGCTATCAAGCTGATTCTCGTCCGTGAAGACATCTGGAGATTCCATACGATAGGTATGGGCAATGTGGCGAAGCAAACATCAGTGAAGATGTTGAAGGCTACCAATGTATCAGCCAATGGATCTCGCACCGTCGCAATTGCAGTCTTACCTGAGTTTGCTATTCCAAAGTGCATGACATACTTCAACGGATAGCAAGTGTGTGCGTACTTAGGATCCCAGAAGCCAGAGAAATGCTTGCAGCGTACGAAGAAGGTAAGCCAGGCGAGAACGGTATAAAAGATGACAAAGCCTAACAGCATCTTGTCAGACCTGTACACCATGGAAGCGCCATACAGCAGCCAAGAAACTCACCAATCAATGCCCAGAGTGTGCGTGAGTACCATCTGTGATTGCTCAACCGAAGTAAGAAGAAAGCAATGGAGATTTTCAACAATCCGAGCGCGCCCATAGCAGAAATGATGCTCTGCCAAAAGGCGATGTGGTCCCAGATTCGTCTATCATCTGGCGAAAGGGTTGCGGTGTGTCGACCAAGACCGTAGGGCCCTTGCAAGAAGAAGCAGATCCAGCCAGCCAAAGCTCCAAGCTATCGGAGTGAGCATTGCAGATCAGTGATTTTGAGCAGAGAATAGTTACTCACAGCAGCTAGGACGATCACATAGTCATCTCGTCCGGGCGATTTAAGCAGGCCTATGCGTGCATAAAGACGAAGACCGACGCTGATCAGGGCGAGGATATGGAATACACCAGTAAGGGCGAGGAAACGAGTAAGGTTGCTTTGTGCCGCCCATTGAGGATCTAAATCCGCCTGCGATGATGGTGCAGTCATGACTGCATAGAAAGAATATGAGAGGCCGTCAAAACATCCGACTGGAGAATGACGAGATGCGGCCTTGAGGGCAAGGCTGTGTTTAAAGCGGTTCAAGTAGGTATGCAACTTGACCACCAACCACAAGCTCAATTAAACTCCAGGTCTTCCCGCGTCGCCGCTCGTAGCGAGGTAGATCTAAGGTTGGCTTCTATAGGATAAAACGGCTTTCTATGGAACATCTAGGGGTGACTACGCCGCGGCTTCGCATGAAATCACCATATGACACCCAGGTGACTGGTTCCAGCTTCCTGAACCATGAGTTCGGGGAGCAGATGCCGTGTATTTGCGCCAATTCGCCTTCAGGATTTCGGAGCATACCCTCTTCACGCAGTTGGTTTCTAATCGAGAGCCCAGCATTAGGGGTCAGAAAACGAGTACTCCTTCGGCGATGGCCAACTTCCGTTCGCCACCTCGCGTGCGTTGTATGTACGTTTTGCGACGGAACAACCATGTCACATTGGTGATGTGATTGGCGGAGGCACACTCGCAGTAGCTTGATCCCAGTTGGAGTGTCCTCGGAACCGGCAACAGGTAGGTTAAATCTCCTACACCCTAGCGACGCCGCGATCCTTCACAGCCCATATGTGGTACCATATCCGAGAAGACATTATCAGAGGTCCTAGTACGATAGTAGAGCCTGGAGCTGTTGACATGTAAGGGGTTCGCGTGTTCCCGTGGAAGGATTCATGGAAGACTCGAGTCGCTCTCGTCGGGAGTTCTACCGAAGAAGACGAATGCCACGATTCCTCCGCATGTCGACTTTTGCGCTCCTTATCGATCATCCTAACATTGATATGTGAAGGTACCGGAGGCGGCAGAGCGAAACAGATAGTATTGCAGAGTGAGGCTTCGGAACCTCGGGAGAATGGCAATGTTGCTAGTGTGCCGTCCCACACGGGACGCGGCGTTCGAGGCGGTCGAGCCGCGACGCACGATCCAGCTGGCGCTCACGGCTGCGGCGTAGCTATCTCACCACCAGGGCACCTGCAGCATCTAGCCTCTGTGGGACGACCCAACATGTCGCCGCGATCCTTTTCGATAGAGTGGCCCGCTCGCATAGGATTCGGGAATTTCGGAATCTCAGCGTCAACACATGGAAAGATCATCCCCCAAACCCTTCATTCCCTATGTATGCAGTAATCACAAACCTGCGTCGGTACATAAGATCTTCCGACCACGTGTACCACGTGCGAGCAATCGATGTCGTGCTCGCAGCTCATGAAGCCCACGAGCATGTTACCCGTGCGTCGATCCTGCGAATACTCGCTTAGCGACGGTGGGCCTCTCTCATTCAGCAATGTCCTTCGCATTGAGAATCACTTTCCCGCACGGCAAGTAGAGAGAATCCGAGAGGATCACTAGGTGGCTTCTACACCTCGAACAGGCTTACATGATCAAGACCAATCCAGCGAGCTCACATGTACATGCCACTTCGAAGACCAAGGGATGGTGTCTTGCAGATTGCATCTGCAAACCCTTCGTACCTCGCAGATCACACCCACCGGCTCATGCCACTCGGGAATACCACAATTGGCCTTTGCGCCGCACAGCACACCGGGTTTATGCTAACTAAGGCAACCAAAATCCTCAGCTACATCTAGAATGTCGCCCGTCAGCGACCATGACTAGCAGTCCTCACCTCATCCGCAGGCTCCAGTCGAGATAGCCTGTGGTCGCCTCTTCGGCTGTAAGTGTCCGACCCCAGTCTCTGCATGCGTCTGTAGAGCTTTGAGGTGCTCCTCGGTGGCGCGGTATCGGCAGTCGAACATATTAAAAGGCATATCCCCCACCACACATGAACTCTCCCATCGCTCAGCCAAGCAACGGAAGTCGTTCTTAATTATCCTTCTCGTTCACTCCACGTCAAACAACATGCGTCTATCCAGCCTTCCAACTGCCCTTCTGGCATTCGCCGGCGTTGCCCAATCTCTAGCAGTTGAAAAGAGGGACTTGCTTTCGGATCTTCAGAACCAGGCTCTTGAAAATCTCAAGGCTGCGGAGAAGAATGGTACTCTCGAGAAAAGAGGTAGCTGCTCTATCTTCAATGCTTCTGTTCGCAAGGATTGGTAAGAACCTCAAGCATCTCTTTGAGCAGTAAGACTAACACACGCGCAAGGGCTATCATGAGTGCGAAAGAGCGAAAAGCATACATCAGTGCCGTACAGTGCATGTTCGATGCTCCATCTCAATCCGATCCCACCCTGGTACCTGGTGCAAAGACCCGCTACGACGACTTTGTCGCACAACATATCAACCAAACGTTAACGATCCACGGAACCGGTAACTTCTTGAGTTGGCACAGGTACTTTGTACATGGCTACGAGAAGGCGCTGCGAGAAGAATGCGGATACAAAGGCTACCAGCCCTACTGGAACTGGTTCGCCCACACGGATGACCTGACCAAGCACCCTGTATTTGATGGTTCAGCGACAAGCATGGGCGGCGATGGAGAGTATGTGAAGCACAATGGAAGTGCAGGCGGCAAAGGCACGATTGCGCTGCCTTCTGGCGCAGGAGGTGGCTGCATAAAAGATGGCCCATTCAAGAAGTAAGTTCAGGATCTCAGCCCGATAGTATGCCACGTTCCTAACAGATTCAGCTTGCAAATCAACCTTGGTCCCGTCTCTCCAGCAATGGCTGGCGAGGTACCCGTCAAATCGCCACTCGAATGGAACCCACGTTGCGCAAAGAGAGATCTCACCTCCTACGCATCCTCCACATGGATGACTTTTGAGAACCTCTACAACGTCACCCTCGGCACAGCCTCCAAGAACGTTGGACGCTTCCAAGACGAACTCCAGGGACGTTTCCCTGACGGCTTCCTCGGCATGCACGGCGCAGGCCACTTCGCAATTGGAGGCGACGGCGGTGATGTCTTCAGCAGCCCCAACGACCCTGCTTTCTTCCTACACCATGCAATGGTGGACCGCGTATGGTGGCTCTGGCAGGCGCTCCATCTCGACCAAGCCAAGTCCGTTGCTGGCACCATCACCATTTTCGACCAGCCACCCAGCCGTGACGCTAGGCTTGACGACCCTATTGAGATGAACTACCTCAATCTGGAGCCTACAACTATCGAGGATATGATGAGCACACTAGACGGAGAGCCGCTGTGCTACATTTACTTGTAGAGCGTCACCCTTGTGGTGTATGTCTAATGAATAATTCTACCAATTCCAAAATACGCGAAATTCCCTGGTATTAGTGATGCTCGATGATCATGACTTGAATATATACTGCGTGTATGAATGCTCAGAAATTAATAGAGCCGTGGACTGACTCGTAGTAGTACCCACATTCCGCAACCCGCTGATTGGTCCGATCACCACAAGCCATCCCCATCCGCTATCGCCATCCTACTAACACCTCCAATAAAACGAAAGAACCTACCACTCCCTCTCCAAATGCCCCCAAAACCATGCCCAAACAGCCCATCACCATAATCGGCGCGGGCATAGCCGGCCTAACCCTAAGCCGCAGCCTTCTCCACCGCGGCATCCCCAGCATAGTCTTCGACAAAGCGCCCCCAAACCGGCGAGGCTTCAACTACGCCATCACCCTCCACTCTACCGCCTACAAACCGTTGTTAGAAATTCTAAATCTCAGCGACACAGCATTCAAAGCCCGCGTCGCCATCGACGCCGAAGACGGCGGCGAAGGCAAACATGGCGAAAACATAGACATACCCAGCCACGGCGGTTTATATGACACCTCCACGTCTTTCCGCGCCAATCGCGCGATATTCGAAGATCTGCTAAGTCAAGACCTGGATATCCGGTTGGGCTATTCCCTCCAATCAGTCAAAAGCACGCCCACGGGACCGAGATTGCGCTTTGCCAACGGCGAGACGTGGGAGGGCGGAGAACTCGTCGTAGGCGCCGATGGTGTGCATTCCAGTCTACGAAAACTGCTGCTACCGGAGAAGTCAAGAGTGGATGTTCTGCCTTATGCTGTGTACTACGGGAAGAGATGTATCATGCGGAAGGACTTCAACAGTATCTTTGGGGGTAGGGCGGAGGGAAACCAGGGGAGGAATGTTTGGCAGACGACCAAGGGGGATGTGGTGCTTACTGTTAATGTGGATAAGAAGGAGGATAAAAAGGTGTGGGTTAGTTGGATCTACTCGCGGAAGGCGCGTGGGGAGACGGATCCGCTGTTCAATCCTGCTAGGTCGACGAATGCGGCTGAGAAGATACCTTTGGAGTTTTTCAAGGAAGTCCGCGCTCAGGAGATCTTTGGTTATCCTTTCTCGGCCATGTTGGATGTGCAGAGTATGCGCAGCGATAGGATATTGCATTGGCTGATGCGGACAACGTCTACGCCATTGCCTGAATTGCATGACTTGCTCGCGAAGAATGGCGTGTGTCTGTTGGGTGATGCAGCACATGCAGAGCCTATTTTGGGAGGTAATGGAGCAAACGCTTCAATCAT